AAAATATAATATAATATATAATTAATAGGGACATGTGTAAATGTTTAATCTAACGTAAATGCGAATCATTTATTTTGACAACACGCGATCTAATTATTTTTTTTATCTTATACACAAAATATTTTCTACGACAATTAACTTCCAGTTGTGAATATTATTACGATCAATTAAAAAAAAAAAACAAAAAACCAAACAAAAAAAAAATTAAAATGGACTTGGGACACTTAAAAAATAAACGAATGTTGCTGTGTATAAAAAATCTTAAATATAAGTAGAGAGTATATTAGATTATTCAAATAATTGTTAATTAATCGAAAGAAATGTCTATTGTTGTTTAAAAGTTCGGAATATACGATCTGTGTACCGTTCTCTTCGAAATACACCGTTAGACTGGCTCATTGTCCTCTGTGAAATTTACTTTTATTGATTGTTGTTTATATGACTTTCCTTAAAAGGAAATTCTATTTATTACGAATATTATTTTTTTTATGTATATGTACCATATAAGGAAAGTAGAATAAACAATATTTAATAAAAAAACTTTTATAGAAGATAACGTGCCAGTCTAACAGTGGATTTCGAAGAGGATGCTACTTAAAATTAATATTTCGTATTTTTAATTTGCAATATATATTTTCTTTCGATTAATTAACAATTATCTTAATACTCTAATTTACTCTTCTTATTTATAAGATTGTTTAAAAGTATTATACATTCGTATAAACGTTACATATTCTAATAACATACTTTAAATAAAAAATTAATTTCGAACTAGATGTAATAGAATATTTAAACAATGAAACATATTAATAGAGAACAATACTGTGTGTTCGATATATACATATAATAATAATAATAAATAAATAATTGTTAATTTAATCGAAGAAAATGTATGGGTATGGTGCACTGGCCTCCTAGAAATCCTCCGTTAGACTAGCACGTTGTCTTTTATGAAAGTTCTTTTATTAAAAGTTGTTTACATTACTTTTCGTAAAAGGAAATTCTATTTATTACGAACTTTTACTTCGTGCTTTTAATATTATATATATACATTTTCTTCGATTAATTAATATTTAAGATATATATTCGTTATTTCGCAAAATGTACTCGTTAAAATTTGACGATGTAGAGAAAATTTTCAAAATTCGTTAAGATCACGTGAAATGTAAAAAAAGAATAGTTCTAAGAATCATTGAACTATTACATCGTTATACTTGAAATAATAAACTTTAAATAATTCTTATAATCTGTGAAAATTTGAATAATCAATCCGTAGTATTCGTACCACTACCCCCTAAATATAGTTCAGTTTATTAATATAATTCTGACTTATCCAAAATCAAAATATCCAAGCAATTATATATAAAGATTAAATAGGGCAAGTAAAATTCACCTTTTACGCCAACTTGACCGTCGGGTTTCCTTTGGCCGGTTTGAAAATTAGGAGGTGGTTGTAGATAATTGATACCAACTATAGTTGCAGCTGGTTCATAATGTATAACCCTTGGACGATCTTCCTCAGCGCTTACTTCCGTGCTCTGCCAATAAATGTCGTATATAGATGCACTGCAACGTATTTTCAGCTTGCCGTTCATGAAGTGTTCGTGCGTCACAAGAAATTGAAGGCCGATCCGGGACACCTGCCATTCGGACTCGTTCGTATTCAACGGACTGTACGTTTTCACGTGGGATGGATTTGGCTGTAAATTAGAAATACAACGGGGAGAAAATAAGAAAGAATAATATTTCTTTTGACTCGATGATTAATGTACGTCTACAAATATATATAACACACATATATAATAAAAATAATATATATATATAATAAATATATATATAAATAATATATATATATATATTGTATATTTATATGTGTGTTACCGTGAAAGACCGAAAAATTGGAGAATGTCTAAATTCACATGGTAGCTTGCTAGTGTATATTCGAAATGTTAATGTATAAGAATAAATCTAAGTATTCTGTCTTTCACCGACGTATATGGTATATGTATAGGAGAAAAGAATAGAGAGAAAGAGTATAGGGTTGATAAACAGGTATACATTTATTCGTGTTAGTATACTATCTTTAAAGCTTCTTCGAATACGCTTTTCTGTGTTACGTCCTATCGTAAAGAGTAAAACAACGTAGTGGTAGTAACGAAAGATTGCTATAACTTGTCAAGAATTGAAGTATGTATTTCCTATTTTCTCTTAACACTTCCTTTTAACCAACTCTATCCAATCTCTCTTTCTAAAATCCACTTTGGTGAATCGCGAAAGAGCATTAAATAACGTTTTATACGCTTTTTGATATTCCAATTAAACTTGATATAGTATAGTATATCGTAATATAGTAATACACAGGTATATACATATATACGACGAATATATAAACAAATTTCAATACGAGATAGACGTATACCCCCGTTTCTGTGAGTTATTATAGGTACTACTGCTGTTTTGCCAATTTAAAACCAATCAATATTTTCTTGTAATATAATATTTATAAATTCTTTATATACGGATTGAAACATATTTTGGGATTATCAAACTTTTCAATTGATATATATTTTATTTTCCACGCGTGAGTTTGATAATAATATTCTACTATTGGTTTATACGTAGAAGAATTTTGAAGCTTTTCCTTTACAAACATGATATTAATTAATTTAAATTTACAATGATGAACAGGTACGAATTCATTCCTCTGACTCCATTATATTATCCTATATACAGGGTGTCAGATGTTTTCTCGTATAAACGTTGCGTACAAATCAAACACATAGATCATTTAAAGTTTTATTTAAAAGTCATAACATAAATTATAAAACTATTTAAACGCGTTGTTCTCAAAGTGTTCTCACGTTTATTTGAATACAAGTTTGATACTACTGTAGTACGTTATTTATGATATAACGAATTTCTTGTCAATTTCTATTAACTTCTACAACCGCATCCTTCTATTATAACATCGTGCATAACTATCTCACGTCAGTAATACAAACTTCTTGTTTTAATGTTCTCCCACAAATAAAGAAATCTAAATATAAATGGAGTAAAATCAAATGATTTTAGACAACCAAAATAATGTTCAAAGTTCAAATTATTCCAAAATAATAAACGACATACGTGCAAAACTGTTAAACGTCATTTAGGAAAAGATGCATTTAAATAATTTTACTATTTATGTTATAACTTTTGAATCAAATTTTAAATGACCCATATTAATTATATAACATTTTCTATTCTTTTTGTACATATAAAATACACTCACAAGGTTTTTACAGAAAAACATATATATACCTGTTGTATACGTGTTTATTAGTTATTAGGAAAACAAGATAGATTGAAATAAATGATACTTGTCCCCATACCTGTCGATCATTGATGTACCAAGTGAGATTGGCCGCTGGTTTGCTACGTCCGGATGTGCAGTTCAAACGAAGTCTATCGTCTATCCGGTATTTCCTCCTTAGTCCGTGTATCGAAGGCCTTCGAGAGGGTAATTCTACAAAGCAAACGAACCAACGTCTACATATATGTATATAAATGTACGTACATATGTATGGGAAGTTATTCGAAGCACGTTTCAAACGTAGCTTTGACGTTAACCAAAGTCTTGAGATTCAAGCCACCCTATACATACTATCTATCTATCTATCTATCTATCTATTTATAGCATCCATTTACCTATCTATCTATTTTTCTATTTTCTCTCATACACGAAACTCACTCCCATGTGATTAAACTTTTTCGAAATTCAACGCGAAACCACACAATAAATATACATATACACATATATATACTTGTATGGTGGAGAGTAGAAACAAGTAGTACTCGGGAAAAAGTTTATCTTTCTTTTTGATTTGTTGTTTCACTTCTTTTCTTTATTATTCGACGCATCGATGCGTCATATAATATGCTGCAATATTTCGAAAACATCTATCAACGATATTGGATGCACCGGAGGTATTTTATCTCGTCTATTTTCTCTTTTATCCATTTTTTCTTTATTAAGAGTTAGACCTTAGATCGTTGTGCGGATGCTTGTATATATATATATAGATGTATATAGGTATATAATACTTACTTACTTAACTTACACCTTCTACGCGCTTAACATTAAGCTCCGAGAGTCAAATTGTTCGGGAGGGGGTTTGTTGGCTCGTTTAAACGCGGATCGAAACTTTTGCCGAGATTTAGTAGCAGTATATAATCGCGGTAGGATTATAATATAAGATAAACTTTGTCACGAATTTATTAATACTTACCTACAACATTCATAATGGCCGATATCATAGCCGTGTGAAATGATGGTTCATCCGCTGATACCTCACAACTGTATAATCCAGCAGCGTCCAATTCCAGATTGGTCAAAGCTACCTGTGTCGCGTTGCTCTCCGATTTCTGTTAAATAATAAACAATTAAATAATATTTTATTATATACAATATATATATATATATATATTATATATAAATTTTTATCATAACAAATGTAATGAACAAAATGACGATGATTATTCAAATAACACACACACACACACACGTGTATATATATATATATCATAATTACAGCTTTGCTTTCTGATTTCTTCACTAAAAGCGGGAAAATTCAAAAAGGAAAAGAACGTTTATCTCTGTAGACGACACATTTATCTCTGTCAATTACACGCTTTAACGCGTACGACCAACCAGCCCCCTTTATTACTTGGAGAACTTTAAACGGCCTTTCTAATGGCGCTCGTTTCAACCCTTTCCTGTCCCTCCCCTTCTCCTCTTCTCTTCTCCTTTCTTCCTCTCTTCCCCGTCCCTTATACTTCTTTCATCGTCGAATTAAATTAATACGAACGCTTTGAAAACATTCTTAAAGTTCACACAATCTTTTGCCCTTTTTCAAAGTTCGACATCAAACCGATCTGTGTACTTTTTTCTTTTTTTTTTTTTTTTTTTTTTTTTTTTTTTTTTTTTTACAACTTTTACCTTCCATCTAATTTCTTTTTTTTTTTTTTTTTTTCTTTTTCTTTTTTACTTTTAGTTTTTCCGTTACATTAATTACCATCTTTCTATCTAATACGTCGGTCAACTCATTAATTTATCTCGCACAA